GTGGTACCAACATATATATTCTCTAGCCACTTGTTCAGAACCCCCTCGTACAGTTGTAGTCGGCCGTAAGCGAGGAGCGCTGTTTCGCTCCACTTGTCTCATGCGTTGGAATCTATTACGGTTGTTTTGCTCGAGTCTGTCCAGCCTGTATTCAAGGTCAGCAATGGTGGCAACCTCCACGTTGCTGTTGTTAGGCGCGTTTACCGCATTCACTACGTTGGTAGTAGTTACCTCCATTATGCTGTCGGCTCTTTTCGCCAACACTTCTACATCCTCATCCAATGTCGTTAAGATTTGTTGCACCTGCAGAGGCAAACGCCGCAACCAAATTGACTTCAGTATACTCTTATCCAATCGATTATGTGCCAAATCTTTCATCTCCCGTAGTAACGTAGTCGGTTTCTTGTCATTTAATTCGCATGACTTAAAAAGTCGCTTTAGCCTTTTCTCTGTCGACTCACCAAATTCAGCTAGTAGTCTCTCCTTTAACGCTTCGTACTTGCCTGTAGTTGGGGGAGATGCAATAATATCGCTGGCGTGCATTAAGATCGCCGAATCGATCTCGGCGACAAAAGTGTAATACTTGGTATCGTCTGTCGTGATACCAGCGCGCGCAAATTGCGCTTCGACCTGAACAAACCACAGACGTGGATCAGGTTTCCAAAACGCGGCGGTTTAACAGCAAGGCGCCCCAAATGCAGCATGTTTTCAGCGTCCATAAATCTGTCTTCTCCTTCGCTGACCATATTCATCGTCGGGGTCACCAGTTATAGAAGTCGTTTTCTATATTCTTAAATTTATTTAATATAATGAAAATGTCGGAATTACAAATCAAAGATGTTGCACGAATGAAATAGAAAAAATATATACCAGGAAATGTATGCAACAAGCAAAGGTATGTTTAATTAATTATTTCTTCAAAGTTTATAGAGTTGCCATCTTCGCGAGACGAATATTGTAGTAGTCCTTAACCCCTACATACATATAATATTAGTTAAATGAAAATAAATTTGAAAAGAACACTATCTCCATATTTGTAATGTATTAGCAAAGTAAGAAGAGTATTTTTGTATGAGATGTTTTTAAATAATATCGACTGCTGACTGGAAGATGGACCTATCTCGGCAGGCAGTCCGAAAACTCCACATCTCAAGGAACTTTTCAAGAACGCCCTATTTCAGCACATTTTCAAGTGAAATAGGGCGTGTTTGAACCGAATTATGAGATAGGGCGTTCTTCGTTCCCACGACAGTCGGGTCTACACTCCCCAAAAAGTTTTTGGGGAATTTGTATGCCGCTTCAACAACAATATAGGGCGTTCTTCAACCAAATTCTGATAATTCTGAAATAGGGCGTTCTTGAAAAGTTTTTTTAGATTTTTTTTTCTAACTGGCTGCCTAGGTCGTTCTTCCCCTCAGCAGTCGATATTTAAATCTTTATTTATTTAGGTTACCAGCAGAGATAGCATACCAACTTTATTATGTATATCTAAACATGGCTGCCTCTTGAAAAGTTTGGATCAGTACATAAATGACGTACACAAACAACTTCAGTAAGTCCTGAGAAGGCGCCGGGATTTATATCTCGCCAAGGGCTGTTATTTCAGCAACATTCCATAAAAGTGTTGAGGAATTTCAAGCGCATGGAATGTAATCCACAAAACGCATTCCAAAGACAGTCTAATCAAACGGTATAAAAGTCCAGCACTATTTAAATCTGAAGTTTAACTTAAGACATTTAAATGAATTCGCAAAAATCTATAGGTATCATAGGACACTTAAAGGAAAACGGAGTTAAAACTGGCGGCGGACTCATCTCAAAAAAAGTAGTTTGCAACTAATCACTATTCTTTCATACGCAAGCAATACCTTTACATCCAATGCTTCCTCGCAAGTACAGCTACACTTGCAATCATTGACGCATCCCTCAATTGCGGGTCACGCATAAAGTTTGTGTTGTTTCTTTTTATTTTTTTCTGTTCTTGCAACAGATCCGTGCCGACTGTATAATTTATTTGATCAAAAGGAATAAGCAACATATATATGCTTACGTATCCATATGCGTGCAAGCAAAATGTTTATACGTACAGATATACCAATCAGTATGTATGTATGCGCTTGCGTTTATTATGCATAATACCTTAATTGCATTTTGATTAAATTATAAAAATGTCTAGCTAAGAGGCGCAAAGTACATATGTGGAAGCGTGGAGCAGGCTGAGTCAACTTTGCTTTTTGCGGAGATATGGTCAGCTGACAATTGAAGAAAATAAGAAACTTTCGCCTTCCTGATTGATACTTAACTAAATAGAAGATGTTCACGGGGTAAACATATTCGGCTTAAAAAAAAAATTCTAGCAACGGTACATCTTCTCGGCATCAACGGCATCGATTCATCTCAGGTATATGAGGTTAGTCTGCATGGGCAGTCACTTCAGCAGCATTCCTCAAAAAATGGATCGAAAATAACAGTTATTTTCGAAATTTCAAATGAAGAAATCAGACGGAAGGAATTACTCTATATAATATTTGAATATAGCAGTGTGATGCTTGTTAGCTAAGGAATATTAATATTAAATGATTTACAATTTTTGAATAAATAAGTCAACAATTAATCGTAATTTTTTAGCGGTATCTTTTCAGTCCCTAAAATTTTGCTTTTATTTTTCCGATCAAAAATAAAAGTTACGTTTTAACTATTAATTTTAGAAAAAATATCGATGAAAAAATAATGCTTATTTATCGACATTTTTGAAAAAAGCATTACAGTCACGGTCCCTGTCCAAAAACTCTTCCAGCCGACCTCCGTGGGAATGAATAGTTCATGAATTTCACCGTTAATTGTCTAGTTTTCCGGATATTTAAAATACTAAGGGATCAACTCTCAATATCTTACCCGAATGTTTTTCTTAGGTACATATTTCTCCGAGAAATCGCGTGCTTACATTTTTAGAACAACCTCTCTTCGTCATTAATAAACGCATAGCCTTATAAGCTTATCCCAAACACAAACGATTTGGTCGATCGAGCGCGCGAAGAGGTTGCCTTCAACTCGCCCAACTCGTAAATGGCCACGGAAGTTATCGTTATTATTTGCATCGGTTTATAGTCGAAGACACTGCGAACTTGTTGCTTCAAGAAGACGGGGCATATTTATGTACTTTTTAATCGTTGAAATTTGAATTTGAATTGAAAGCTCGACAATGAGGAATCTAAGTTGTGCCAAAGATGCTACAAACATAAGGCATCTGGGAAGCAGTATGCAATTTCTTAGTTGTATAAATTGACAAATTTAGACCTGGAGAACTATTTCCTCACAAGCCGAAACCAGTTGCTAAAGCAGCACTATTCCGCGACGAAGGATGACCCAAAACGCACAGAAGGATCCTGACTAGTAAACTTTAGGGGAAGGGGCGGTGTGGATGCGTAGATTTGGTACAGAAGGATCCTGGAATAACAATAAGAACTGAACTAAGCCAGGAATCAGAGATAGAGTCCAGTGCTCAAACCCGCACCCTGAAGAAATACTTGACGCTAGTCTTCTTCTTCGTTTAGTTTAACTATAAGCGAGACATACGCCTGCGCTCCATACGCATACGCCGCTTCGTCGAAGGTTCTTCTACAGGGCCGTTCGTCTAGCGAAAAACCGATTAGGAAATTCCTCACAGTCACAAGGCGATGCGCTAAGAGACATACATATCTCATCAGCACAGTCAATGTGGTGCAGTGAACTGGGCATGGACCACCGAAGTCCGCAAACAGGGAGTGACCTCATACTAGCAGCCAACGGATCATCAATCACCAAAAGAAGAAGAGGTAAGAGTATGCCACTTTATTGAACCGCCGCTCTGAACTTCGAAGGGTTCAGACATTTTCAAACATCAAAAAGCCTTAGATGGCAGGAGGTTTAGTTGTGTTAGTTTTTCGACACTTTCCCCTCGTCAAAAAAAAAACAATCCCCGCTAAAAATATAGCTCTGCCAAAAGATTTTTTTAGTACCGCCTGTGCCAAAAGCTGCCACTGTGGCTTCCCTTTTGCCCTTTGCTTATGTGTGAGCCTTGAAAAAAAAATATTATATGTTTGACTGGCTCTACAATTTGTAGACCGCCTCACTTTTAGACGTAATCTGAAGGACGCTCAGGCACTTACTCACAGCTCACTTTTCGGATTATAAACCTGCATTCCGAACTTATCGCTGATCGTGGACATCTCAAAGGCTGACTTTCTGATTAGTTCTTCAAGAAAAAAGATACGTACGGGCCATTATGATATGGTGTCTATACACTCGCATGATGTGGTATCTAAGTATATACTATACTTGTTATGATACGGGCACGTTTGTGGGATTTCGAAGTAGAGAAAGATATACACCGAAGAGTTTCATGCCGAGAGTTTTGATAATAACTGGGTTTTCGAAAGAAAGACACAACTGCTCACTAAAATCTGCCGTTTTTTCTACAAAGTTCATTGCAAGAAACAACTCAACCTGTTGCCGAGACTTGGATTGTGAGCTATCCACACTGAACGAACCTCGTCACAAGATGCCCAGTATTGTGATATATGAATCTAATTCGACTGCCAATTTTGGGCGACCTAATTTTGTTCACTCTCTAAACATTTTGCTCACTGTCTGAACATTTTAAGAACTTAACATTAGGAATGATCGCAAGTGATCTTCAGCTGCTCTTATTTGAAAATCAACGATTTATTCTTTGAGCCAGCACTTTCTTTGTCGTATGTATTGTGCATAGTTACAGACATATAAATGTATATATAATGTGTGTATGTATGTATACATAGGTATGTACATAATATTGGTCATATGAATAAATTACTTTGAATGGGTGTGATTTCGCCATCTAAATTAATATGCCCGCATGGTGAGTTACATACTACTTATATACATACATACATATGTACATATGTATGTACATATAAGCATATCACTACGAAAGTGGGATAAAGTATTTCTAACGCTCGAACTTACCTCCACAGCTTCTCGCTTGTGTTGAGTCTCAATCTAAATAATAATACCTCAAAAATTCAGTTCGACCTATGTAGGTGTATGTATGTGTATTTATCGCAAATTATGCACATATCTTGGATTTGATCTTTGCATTTATTTGAGATTTCTAAATTTAGTTGCATTGCTGCGGTGCGATCCATTAAGTGTTGGAAAGCACGTAACACTTCAAAGCTCAGCAATATCCGCAGAAGTGATGAAGTAATTTAGATTGCGTTTTGTTTTTTGCCGCATATTTACTTAAAGGTGCGATGGTTGATGGTTATGTCACGCTATTAAACCTCACAAGGTAAGGACCTATCATCTAGGTCCTAGAAACTAGCAATATTGAGAAGCTAGGACCCCAGCTGATATGCCTTCTCCACGATAAAAATAAGGTAATAGTTTTGAAAAGAATTTCAAAATATTATTATGCTAATTGTGGTTATTGTGGTTACCAGGCCACAAAGTCTTAGCGGTGGCCTCAGCTCCAATATATATGTACGTCCTAAACCATTTCTTGCAATAGGTTCAAACACGATGAGGGAAGAGCTTCGGAAAGGAATAAAAAGTAGGAGAGAACCACACTGGCATAGTACTATAATAGGACTTTGCCAAGCCAAGAGCCT